GGTGGTGGTTTGTTGGCAGTACTCTTCTCTCTTTTTCAGCTGGTTCACAGCTGACCATACACATGTAATAAAGCAACAAAACCGCGGCACAAGTGTTCTATCAATGGAAGTGTTTTCTGGCACTTGGGCCGTGGGCCTGAGAAGTTTGTCAGGCGATTGACCAGGGATGTTTGATCACAAAACCATGTGTAAGCTGCAAAAAACCTAGCAAAGTGGTGCAAAATGCTCAAACAGCTGTCGGTCAGTCAGATAGAAGGTTTAGTAGGATGTGTGTACATTGAAGCACAAAAGCTGCCAATTTTTGGAGCTGCCTTTGACGGCCTTGATGTTTGCATTTCCATCATGGATGTGATTTCGAAGAGGAATTGGGCGGAAACCTGGAGGTGGTCAAGAGGTGTTCACACTTAAGTTCGTTCCGGCGCAGCCCTTCCGACTCAAAATCCGAGATCCCGTGTTCTGGTTCTCGTTTTTGCTTGATCCGAAACCTGCAAAAACGATGATGTTGAGAATCAAGTGCCCATCTATGTAATCAGAGTTCTCAGAAATCGCACACTTTGCAGCCACAGCCTCCGCTCCGTTCTTTGCAGCTTTTTGGAGGCAGGATGAGGAAAATGGGCGTGCCATTGGGGAACTGCTCTCATTTTGTGGGCCAAATTGGATGATTGTGCCACTTGTGTTTTGTTCAATTTGGGGTGATCATCTCAGAAATGAAGTTCAAGATGTATCAAATTCTGTAGTTAAGATCCCAGACAAACTCGGTGAATGCACAACCCTTCTTATTGATTCTGATTGAATCAATCGTTTTTCATCAAGAGTCATGATCTTATAGTAATATCGAGCTACACAATAGAACATTGGGTCACATGTCTATGTTCATCCAAAATGCAAAGTTTCGCCAACTCGGGCCTCGTGGATTCCTCAAAGTATTTGCAGGGAAAACACCTCAGGCAATCATGGCCTGTTCATCCATCCTCTCAGAGAAGGCAAGGAAACGGAACGCCGATTTGGTGTGGGCTTTGATGGATTTTGGTGGTGCGGAAAGGGATGGTGCTTAGTGCTTGGGGATCGGGATGAACGCGTTCAGATGTGCTTCATGGAAATGAGGTGTGTGCTTTCATAGCATACAGCTTGTTTCATTTCTTTGTTGGGTTCTGACACTGTGATCCGTGGGGATTTTGCGTTCACGCTGAACATCACATGCTTGGTTTCTTGTGCCGAATCACCGAAAGATTTGGCCTAAACGGCTACCACTCCTAGTTTACCAGCGTTGCCAACCTCGGACCAAGTGGGATTGACCTAGCAGCCGTTGCCCATACCTATCAGTTTTCCCAAAAGCACGGGTCGCGTGCAGT